CCTCCAAATACTTCCAGCTATTGCAAACCAAGTTGCCTCTGCTTACTACTTCCAGAAATTTTTGAGCTTAAGAAATTCAGTGGTAGGGGAGAAATGAAGAAATTTACAAAGTCAAAGGAATAATTTCAATCAAGAGGAGTGATTCTGATCCCTGTCTTTCTTGAAGGCTCTGAAGGTACCTAATTAGAAGGGCAGAAGAGGTTTTGACTAAAAGTAGTGAACTGAAAGAAGTGAAGAGTCTGGGGTCTGCTTCTGGTGGTAGATGTGAGAATGTGCATGCAAACATGTAATAATGTAATTAGTGAGAGAAAAATGTGAGGATCTTCTGTATAGGAGAGTGAAAGAAGGAGACAATATGATGGGGAACAAAAGACAAAGGAGTGCTGCACTGTTGTAAGGGATCACTGGCTGAAAAGAGACCACAGAAGCAAAAACTCCAAAGGTTTTGTAGCAACTAAATAATATTGTCTTCTACATTTCATCCTAAAATGAATAGATTTTTTTATTTCATGGAAATAGACTCCTCCCCAATCCTTATCAACCTTTTTCTTCAGCACTTCGGATTCACTTCGGATATTTCATGAGCCTGAAATCAGAGACAGGGAGAAACTCTGCTCCCTCTCCTTGTACCGTGTGTCCCCAGTGTTAGCCATTAAGTTGTTTTCAGCTGGATCTTGCCACCAGCTGCCAGTCCCCAAATTAAAAAACCCAATTGCAATGCCCTTTACAACTTTCTGTAAAGATAACTGGAAATCATAAGGCTACTTAATTGTTGCAACAACAGAAACCTGCAGGAAGGAAAGTGGTGATAATCTAAAATCACTGCTAAAATCACACCTTCTTCCTTCCAAGACGAGGCTACAGAAGGTCAGGATTTGCAACATTATTTTAGGTCATCTCTGTGGGGAATTAAAATTTATTTCAGTTTTGGTGGGGGCAGGAAGGGCAATTGGAAAAGTATACTAAAAAGAGCAAGTATGTGAAGTTAAAAAAAAAAAATTGTCTCAGCCTAAGATTGACAAATCTTAATAAAAGAAATACAGTCTGTCCTGCTTGTAGGGATGTCGTGAGTTAAAAATCCACCTAGACTTAAAACTACTGTAGTTATTTCTGGCAGAGAAATAAAAGATCAAACACAAGTGAAAAAGCAAGCTTTTTTTTTAACTTAGAATGAGATTATGTGCTGTACAGAGGTACCTGTACACACACACAGATGCAAACACGCTACAGATGCTTTCTTACCCACCATCCACGATTTCATAGGTTTTTTCAACCTATGTTGAAATAAACTAGTTTCTGTGAGAATTTGAATTCTGGAAGCCCTTCAGCCAGGATGCTAAAGCTGCATGGGGTTTAGGTTCCAGTATAAGAAATATATTGCTCCTCTCCTCCTCTTCCTGAAAGAAAGAATTTGTACTGACCCTTTGAAACAGCAGATAATCTGGTACATTGCTCATAGAATTAAGCCGCAGGTAGTACAAGCAATGAAAATTAGATTTAAATCACTTTTGGAGAACTTCAAAATATGCAATTTTTAGTATTCAGACTTAACAGTGCTAGGGAGAATAAATGACTGGGAGATTTCAGAGGAGAAGCAGAGAGAAGATGAATGAAAGACACCCATGGATTTCTAAGCCTGCTCATGTGGTTTAGAAGCAGAAATGCAATAGAAGTATTCAATATTCAAGTAAATCTTTAATTGAAGAAAATAAATTCTGTCTTCCAAAATTCAAATAAATGTCTATTTCATCTACACGTTGTGTAGATGAGCAAATTATGAAGAAAATTCTAATCCAATGATGTCTTTGATTTGTTGGTGAGAACTGAAATTTGGATGTTTAATCAAGGGTGGTTATATGTGGGGTCGTGAGGACCGGAAAAAGACTACATTTCACTTAAATAGATCATGGATCGCTTATGCTATGTATCATTACTAAGTGACCTTGGGCGAGGAATAGGCATATATTAATATCTTTTTTTTTAAAGTCTGGAATAAATAAATAGTAATTTAACCTCCCTGAATATTTACCTTAAAACAGAAAATGGATATGTTATCTCAGCTTTTACTAGGTTCAGAAAAAATTATACCTAGCTTTATCTTTCTCCTCCATCCTCCTCATACTAATCTTTATTTTCTAGTCTTATTATACGGCAAACAACCAGAGTTCAGTGGTGGTAAAAGATTTGGATCCACTGACATAGACAAATATAAGGAACTGTAAAACTGGCAGAATTCCATAGTTAAGAGGGAAAACTAGATACAGATACTCAGAAGTTCAGAAGAAATGGATCAATGGCCAGAGAAATAGGTCCTTTCATGGTATTTCATGTTAAAGTTGTTGCCTACTGACAATAAATACTAGAGTCACAGGAACAGTCCTGCATTCCTAGGGATCCAAAGGACTACAACTTTCAGTTATCTGTAATCTGGGGATGGGGTCAAGGAATGGTCACAAAGAATACATGCAAACTAGTTGGTCATCTCCATCAGAATGTCATGAGTGGACATAAAGTCTTTAAGGAAGAATCTAGCAACGTCTCATAGGTCAAAAAGAGCAGAGACAGAGAAGATATAGGGCCAATATGCAGTTAAAATGCCTTCATATTTTAAAAAAGTCTAGGAATGGCACCAACTTAAGGAGAAAGTTTATCCTCAGTTTTTGAAAGATGGTGACCTTGAGCAGGAAGACAGCTGAGGATGGCAATCAGAAGTAGGAATATAGAAATTATCACAACCAGAGGAAGCATAGTTTGAAGAACTTCAAGCTGGAACGGCCACAGAACTGTCATTCTAGAAAGATCTGGTGCATGACATAGCAAATCCAGGAAGATGATCGTTTGAGAACAAGCAAATGTAGTGTTTGACCGTTTTGAAGAAATGGGAATTCCATTAAGGCCTGAGAACTTGCTTTGGAAGTAAGTGGAAAACAGGTTGTGGAATAAATTATATGTGGTTTTAATTTTTCTTTCCTAAGGTAGCACACGTCAGACTACATGGTTTAATAGCAAGTTCAGTTGAATATTTTTACTAATGATCTGGGGTGGGGAGGAAGGAACTCTACTGAGAAAATGTGTTTATCAGGAAAGGTTGTCAGACAGTCTTAAATACAGAAGGATCGGAATGATATGCAGAAAGAACCAGGTGACCTTCAAAACTAGAAGCAATTGGAGTGGAATGAGATTATAAGGTTGTGAACTAAATAACAACAGAAATTTCAGCTGTAAACTATGGGTTTGCCAGTTAGATATAAGGTATGAATGAGAAGAGAAGCTATATTTCAGATCTCCAATGGCACCCAGCCCTGATAAAAAGCAAATGCTATGCCAGGATGGATCAGGAGAGTTGACGTGGGCAGGTTTTGCTGCTGCTGAAGTGCAAGACACTGAAGCAACCTCATTTCAACACTTGTTGCCTGTGCTCAGGAAAGGGGAACCTAATTCTGAACAGAGAAAAGGAAATTATTTGAAGGTGAGCAGGGGATGTGGGACACCAAGCTTTAAGGTTTTTTACTCCAGAAAAAAAGGGGAATAGGATTCCTCTCAATGAACATAGTTGGGGGTGGGGGAAGGAGGAGAAGCACGGGGGAGAGGAAAAACACTATTTGAACTGAAGAACAAGGATAGCAAAAGAAGACAAGATGATAAACTAAACATGAATATTTTTAGCTAGAAATGGGAAGGTTTGTAGTTATGCAGAGTTCTGAAACTGCCTTCTATTCAGATGTGTATTTGTGGGAACTTCTCTGAAGCTGAGGCTTAGAAAGTTTATGATAGCAGGGGAGTGAATGCAGCAACTCAGGAGGTATCCTCCAGTTCTGTGCTCCTATGTTTCATCTCTTCTTAAAATGATAACTTGGCCACTAGGCAAACACATTGATTTTAAAGTCTTTGTCTACTTCTAAGATACCACTTACATTTTTTTTCGCCCCGTCAGTGTCTTCTAACTCAGTACTTCCTATTGCTAAACCTGCTCAAGGAAACTTTTTTTGGGGTTACAAACACCAGGCATAAACTTTGTAGAGAAAAAAAATTGGTTTAGCTCTTGTCATCCCAAATTCATCTTGATAAATGAAGAATCTGGTCTTTTGTTTAAAAAAATTTCTTGAAAAATTGCTTACTTTTTCTTGTTGCTTTTCCCACATTTATTTCCTGTCAAAGTTGTACATCCTAAAGATATTCTAAATTGCTGTTCAGTTCAGCTCCAGGGCACGTACTGGGATGTGTTACATGAAAAGCAACATAAAATGTATTTTATAGCACTTGGACAAAAGTGGAAGCTTTTCCTTTCAATGGAATGGACCTTCAGAAACATAGCTACTGAAATCCGTAGTGTAGTGGGAAGTTTTGAGGAAGAAAGAACAGATCAGTATTTTTCAAGTAGAAAACCTGCCTGTGATTGCCAATCATCTTCATATTTTTCAGCCATTATCTTATTTAATCGCATCATGTATTACATAGGTCTTGCTTCTTAAAGGCATCTACAAAAATTTTGCTCCTAAGCCTTTACTGCATTTCTAAGTGGAGGAGAGAGAGAGTAGGCTCCGTGCCACTACACAGGTAGGGTTAAGAGTCACTGGCAAATTCCAAGCAGCAGATGTTCGTTAACAGCAAGCAGTAATGTATTTTTGAAGTCATTTGGGGAAATTAGGATGAAGTGTTAATATACCAAGTGCTAAAATGACATCAAACTTTTTTACCAATATTGCTTTGAAAATAAACAAATGCTAAGCCCTTGTAGTTATGTCATAATCTATTATATCATAATAGCTTTTCTTCAAATAACTGCAAAATCTTGAAGACACATACTCAATATTCTGCTAGTTTATATAAACTACATTTGTAGACTGCAAAAAGTCTGGATACTTGACCATAGTTTCTTCACTTGACATTTAAACACTTCTGAATGAATAAACTCTTCCTCGCTGTCCCTCAGACCCTCTTCCCCACCATCCTTCAGTTTTCTTGAGAAACAATTGGCATTATTTTCCCCTCTTTGATACCTTCAGCAGCTTGGAGAATGCCTTTGACGGACTGTCCAAGAGATTTGGCTCTGTCATGAGTCCTCTCAGCATCCTGCCTGGTTTGCTCACCATCTGCTGTCACCTTGGTCGCCTGGTGATCCAAATTCAGGAAAAAAGTAATTAATAAACAGGACAAGGCTGCACGGTGCCATATTCCTACTGGCTGAGTCCATGTACAAAACTTTCCTCGGGCAAAAGGCAATCAATGACTTATTGATCACAGGCATAGGAAATGGCACGCTCCCTTCAAGTACACAATTAGATGTTATTACCTTTTCCTTTAAATGGAAATTGGAAGGCTTTACTTTAGGTTCTAAGAAACCCTCCTTGTGCGCAGCAGCACACAAAGGGAGACAGGATGAAATTATTTACTGGATTTGCTTAAAGAAATGTTGTTTGGAACCTTTTAATAGATTCTTCAGGGAATACTTTCCACAGTTTCACAATCGCGCACTTCTCAATTGACAAAGTGCAGCAGATATCGTGACCTCTTTGCTTCCTCCCCAGAGGTGCTCTCAAAGAGACAGCTCATGCCAACAAACAAGAAGAATTTTAAATCAATGTATTAATTAAACCGAGAAAGACTGGGGAAAAAAAAAAAAAGAGAGTTGTTTTTTTCAACTCTAATGGTGGAAGTTGTTTGTTTATGACATATTGGGGTGCTCAGTAGAATTTTAAGTTTGTAACTAAATGTTATGTTAACTAATATATTAACTAATATTAACTAACATATATAACTAATATATTAACTAATGTTATGGAATCAGTGCAACAGGATGAAGACAGACGCCTGCTGTGGACCTGAAAAAGGTGCTAAGGAGAGGAGTCATCTGAAGACATTCTGCTTAGATCTTATGGTCCCCATTTACAAAAGGTACCCATTTTTCTTACAAAGAAGCTGACCATTTCAAGCAGCAAAGCTTTTCAAACTGTATTGTAAAGCAAACCCCAACCAACAGGTTTTTCTTTGGGGATTGCATTCCCAAGAAATGTCTCAAAGCAGGGTGTTACGATCTTTCCAGGCTCTGGGAAATGGCTAGAGGGTCAGTAATTCAAAAAGAGCTTAGGTCTTCTCCAATTTGACCTGCAGAAACTGTTTTCTCGGTTACACCTCACACACAAATGTTTCAATAGTAGTCAAAGAAAAAAGAGTATCGCTTTAACACGTTTATTTTTGCCTGACTAGCTTCTAGATGGAAGCCCTGAAGACACATGAGGACAGCTGGGTTTCTGAAATGAAATCCCTGGCATTCTCATACCACTCACAGGTTTGCTCTGCTTCCATGTGGTTGTTGTGAAAGTAATTTATATGAAAATGGTTCAGGTAAATAGCATTATACAGGGAGAATTAAGAATCCCTACTGTCTGGGGGGAGTTGGTTCCATTTTCATCCCTGTGTCAGTAAAAGAACAAGGATCTTCACATTTATACATCTTTAATCATGCTATTGATTACTTCTGCTAAGATTTACAAAGTGCCTTTACCTGCTGGATACAGCACTAAACTGGTGTCAGAGTGAGATGTAAGAGACAATGGGTAGAGGAAAAAAACAAAACCACAGAATGGATGGACACAGCTCTAACCCAGCTTGGCATTTTCATTCTTCATGTAATTGAGAACTACCTCATTATTTATTGTCCAATCCTCCACAATCAGCCTTTGAAGCTTTGGGTTTTATTTGCTCGGAATTTTCACGTTCACTTTTATTATATGCTGTAATATTTCCAGGTCCTTTACCACAGATGATGGTTAATAACTTACATACACTTTTCTTAGTTTTGATTACTTTTTCCACATTCAAGTTAATTCCAATTGGCCACTTTAGCCTCAGTATTTATGACTGAATGGCATGTACTACATTTTTGTGCACATTAATCTGTCGTTGAACAGTTTTCATTTCCTTTCAGTGACAGCCCTCCTTAGTACTTAAATCCTACTCAGCTCCACTGAAGGCTTTCTGTATTTTGCCTTAATTTGCTGTGCTAAAAAATAACCTTTTCCTTCATTATCTGGTCTACCTTTAACCCCATAAACCAAATTCAATGGCAAACATCCTTCACACCGTACCTAGCCATTCCAGGGCTAATTAAATGTTCCCATTTGTAAATAAAGCCCTACTCATTTCTATATATTCTGTTTACTACGATTCACCATTTCTATAAGGTCAGTCTACAGCATCTCCCAACAGCTTAAAAAGGCACAACAAACTGGTTCTGGGGGAGCAGTAAGGGTCAGGCAGGATGCAGAGCAAAGGTTTGGAATGAAACTTCAAGAAGTCTGGACACAAATGAGACTTTTTGGCATAAAGGAGACCCCTACCATGGGCATCTAGCAAAGGAAGCATCATCTGAGATCAGTGAACCTGCTTTGGTGATGTCCACAGCTTGTACTTAGTGATGAAGGTTCCATGGAGGACTTGTCCTACTGAGCAACTTAGACTATTAGTGACTTCTAGCAATTACAAACCCAATTTTTTATTGGTTTTGTTTGTGTGTTTAGTCTGAGGTCTTAATCGAGCCATAAGAAACTCCTTTGATAGCATCTGGAAGGGAGCCCTACAGGAACCTCTCCAGCTGCAGAGCACAGAAGGAGGAGGAAACACAGACCTCACTGTACAGAGGAAGTTCTTGGCTCTCCCTCCAAATACTTCCAGCTATTGCAAACCAAGTTGCCTCTGCTTACTACTTCCAGAAATTTTTGAGCTTAAGAAATTCAGTGGTAGGGGAGAAATGAAGAAATTTACAAAGTCAAAGGAATAATTTCAATCAAGAGGAGTGATTCTGATCCCTGTCTTTCTTGAAGGCTCTGAAAGTACCTAATTAGAAGGGCAGAAGAGGTTTTGACTAAAAGTAGTGAACTGAAAGAAGTGAAGAGTCTGGGGTCTGCTTCTGGTGGTAGATGTGAGAATGTGCATGCAAACATGTAATAATGTAATTAGTGAGAGAAAAATGTGAGGATCTTCTGTATAGGAGAGTGAAAGAAGGAGACAATATGATGGGGAACAAAAGACAAAGGAGTGCTGCACTGTTGTAAGGGATCACTGGCTGAAAAGAGACCACAGAAGCAAAAACTCCAAAGGTTTTGTAGCAACTAAATAATATTGTCTTCTACATTTCATCCTAAAATGAATAGATTTTTTTATTTCATGGAAATAGACTCCTCCCCAATCCTTATCAACCTTTTTCTTCAGCACTTCGGATTCACTTCGGATATTTCATGAGCCTGAAATCAGAGACAGGGAGAAACTCTGCTCCCTCTCCTTGTACCGTGTGTCCCCAGTGTTAGCCATTAAGTTGTTTTCAGCTGGATCTTGCCACCAGCTGCCAGTCCCCAAATTAAAAAACCCAATTGCAATGCCCTTTACAACTTTCTGTAAAGATAACTGGAAATCATAAGGCTACTTAATTGTTGCAACAACAGAAACCTGCAGGAAGGAAAGTGGTGATAATCTAAAATCACTGCTAAAATCACACCTTCTTCCTTCCAAGACGAGGCTACAGAAGGTCAGGATTTGCAACATTATTTTAGGTCATCTCTGTGGGGAATTAAAATTTATTTCAGTTTTGGTGGGGGCAGGAAGGGCAATTGGAAAAGTATACTAAAAAGAGCAAGTATGTGAAGTTAAAAAAAAAAATTGTCTCAGCCTAAGATTGACAAATCTTAATAAAAGAAATATAGTCTGCCCTGCTTGTAGGGATTTCATGAGTTAAAAATCCACCTAGACTTAAAACTACTGTAGTTATTTCTGGCAGAGAAATAAAAGATCAAACACAAGTGAAAAAGCAAGCTTTTTTTTTAACTTAGAATGAGATTATGTGCTGTACAGAGGTACCTGTACACACACACAGATGCAAACACACTACAGATGCTTTCTTACCCACCATCCACGATTTCATAGGTTTTTTCAACCTATGTTGAAATAAACTAGTTTCTGTGAGAATTTGAATTCTGGAAGCCCTTCAGCCAGGATGCTAAAGCTGCATGGGGTTTAGGTAAATTGTCTCAGGTGTGTATTCATCAGTACAGTGATCCATGTCTTTCTCATTTGCAGATTTCAATGCAGGGGAGCACAACTCATGAATGTGACTTTTCTTAGTCCTTCATATTAATATATTTTGGACAGCTTTTTTTTTTTTTTTCTTTGTCGCTGATCCATTTTCCTATTTTTTCTCCACTAGGTGGCACAATTTATATTATTTTCTTAGACACTGTCTTTTACTGACCAAGGTCTACATTGAAATAAAACTTTCCTAATAAAAAGAGTAAATAGCACATCGATTGAAACCCAGAAGACTCTCTCTACTCCCATAAATGAAATATAGAGCACATATATTTAAATAAACTCACACACCTTGTTCATATATTTGATTTCTTCTTTAAATATTATCACCATTTCAGTTACTTCATTCATTGACTCTTAATAAGAACTTGTTATTTGTTAAACTGGGACTTCTATTTCTAAACCCAAATTTAAAATGCCTTTAAAATAAGTGAATCAAGTTAGGCTACCATTTGCTCTACAGCTCCTGGAGAAACAAGCCAGGACAAGAGATAACCCAAAATGGAAAATTAAACTTTTCCAGGCTACTTCTATTGTAACAGGCAATCTTAAAAGAGAAACGGGCTGAGAACTGCCTTGAGACAGTCAGACTCAGGAGATTTGAAAGGTAATTTGATGAGATGATGTTGCAGTTCAGTTTCTGAAAGCCTGAGCCAGTCAAACAAAACCTCCAGACAGGTGAGACACTGGGTGGGAATTCCATGGCTTTGTTGCCATTAGGTTTGTAACACAAACTACAGCTGAAGCCATGGGAAAGCCCAGAAATGCTGTATCAAGAGCTCTCTTTCCTTTAGCGGCAGCTTTTCCGGATAAGCTCATTCTTGGGTGCTCTGTAGGAGTATTATGAAGTTTTCTGACATTATTATAAAGTTTTGCAGAAAATATATCTCAATGTCTTGGCCCGCAAAAAGAGGTTGTTAGAGGACTCGCTGCCATTTCAAACGCAGACTGAGAAGTATCTTATAATTCATCTATTCGCTCATGTTTAATTCATATTCAGAAGATTTCTGTCATTATGCAGCCTTAACCAAACCCACAGACCCCAATGTGATCACAGACTTACTCTTGTCAGTAGTTCATCCATTTCTGTCACCAGGGTATCCAGATTTTCCTGTGCCAGCTCAAGAAGCCTCTCTGGTGCTCGCTGAGGTGAAAGCAAATGCTGTTGGGGAAGAGAGGAGAGAGGCTGAAAATCTGTATTTAATGGATCTCAGGGCTTCCAAATATTGTAGAGAAGAAGCATCAAAAATTTCCTTTTCATTACAGCATGCAACTGCCTTTTGTCATTGACTCTTGTGTCATACCCATCCAACATGTTTTTCTCAGGAATCTTGACAGCTTTACATAGTTTAGTGGAGAACTTGGAAGTACGATGGGAAAACACAGTATATAAAATATATAACTGCTTTATGGACCGCCAGCACGAATGCTATTTTATTTGTATGCAAGCACTGTTTCTGTGCCTGCAGTGTAATTCCTTTCATATACGTACACAAATTACTGCTCTGAGATTTGCTTATTAAAATAACTCAAAATTAATAACTGTAATAACTATTTATCAACCACAGCAAGTTTGAAGTAATTAAATCTCGACTTTTTTTTTCCTTCCCTGAACCTGCTCAGGGCTGTAGGTTTGAACAGATTCAAGCACAGTTGTCCTGAAGCCCTGTTATTTATCTCTGTGAATACCACAAACATACCTTTAATTCCTGCGTGGTGTTCTCAAACCCATACAATATTTTATAGGGAGCAGGCAGTGGCCCACTGAGGTTAACGCTCAGGATCATCTGGTTTAACCGATCCAGGTCGTTGAGGAGGAGTCCTGTGCATTCATCATCACAAGCTGGGGGAAGAATGGCAAAAACTTATTTATTCCTGCCACATGTTAAAGACCTATGTTTGAGTTAGAAATTTTATGGCACACTTACAATTCTGTGAGAGGTAACACTAATTTCAGGTAATTTACCCCAAAAGCATAGCGGGAGAAAAGATGGAAACAACAGCTAAGGAACAGGAAAGGAGCTGGTAATGGGACAGTTTAATATAAAACATGAAAAGGAAAATTAGGAGGCTCATCACACAAAAAGAGGAAATAATTAACATTGTCCATTATGGACTAGGCAATATAAAATCCTAAAGCAGACAAGCAATTTGGATGAAGTCTGGGAAAAGCAGACAGGTAATTTGGAAAATCTAAGGAGCACTTTAAGAAGTATAACATGGTTGTGGATTTGAAAACAAGAAAAAACTAAAGAAATCTTAAAATTTACATACTTTATAGCCATATAACAGCATGGCCAAGCATGCTAAATTTGTAAAGCAGACAGCAGAAAGAGGCCAGGTAAAAATACTGATCGTTTTCTTTTAAGAAATGCTTTTCCCTACCTCCTTCCACTAACCAGCCTATGAGCTTTTCATGAACGTCTCCTTTCTTGCAAATACTCCTTAGCATGAAAAAGACTGGTGTGTGCTGCACACATCGAAAGGAGTTTGTGTTCTCCTCCCTCTTGCTTTCTATTAACTCTCACAAGAAATTCTCATAACCTCAAAGTCCTGTGTCATTTATGCTGCAGGCAGGATAATTCTTTGTCCTTAAGAAGAGAGTTGGGGGAATATTCCCCCACGTAAAGATGCTACCCAGGGCTGGCAAACCTCAACAGCACCTCGGGAGATGGAGCAAACTGTGAAACAAGGAATCCACTGGTGATATTAAGAGACATGGAGGGTTGTACTTAAAGTTTTTACAAGTAGGTAACTGTTTATTTCAGCAACACTCCTAGGCAGCTCAATGGCTAAAAAAACACTAAACATTTATGTTTCTGTAGTAAAAGAGAAGTAATTTTCAACAATTACACTTTTTTCCTGAAATCTGTTCTTCATGTAGATTAAATCTTTTCTCTTTAAAGTTTTTTCACAGTTATCTAAATGTTGTACTTATTGTGTGGGTTGGCTGTTCCATACAGCAAGGAGCTGAGTCAAACAGAGAGAAGAATGAATACTAGTTTAATACACCATGAAACCCATGAGATGACTGAAAAGGATAAGACAGATGCTGGATTCGTGCAGTAAGAAGTGGGTGCAGAGAGCTAGATACTGTTATTTTAAGTCTTCCTTTTGCATTTTCATTGCTTCCATTTGCAGACTCTTCCTCCTGTTTCACAGTATTTCGTTACATAAACTGAACTGCACTGGAACTTCTCTGCATTTGTTAACTGTAGGCATGGCATACTCCAATTTATGTTTCTACATGAAACATTAAAAAAAAAAAAAAAAAAAAAGCTTATTACCAGCCCAGCTCTTGTTATCTCTGCGCTTGCTTTTGGAAAGCTGGGAGAATTAAAGGAAAATCATGTTTTACAGTCAATTGAATGTTTTATAGAAAAAACACCTGTTCTGTAACTGGTCAAGAAGGTCAGGAGACCTGATAATCATTTGGCAGGATGCAAATAAGTGATCTTGGACTTGAAAAGAGTTGGGTTTTATTGTTTGTTTTTGTTGGTTGTTTAGTTTTTTCCTCTGATACATTATTTCACTAATGAAACAACCTAAAATCTATTCACCCTCAAAATTGTCAGAGCGGTTGTTAATAAAACACTAAAAATTTCCTATGTGTTAAACTTCATTCACACCAATAAGAAAAAAAAAAATGAACAGCTTATGAAGTGATGAAGTATTTTCAGTGAGTAAACAATTGACAAGAGAACAGTCAGTACAAATTAACAGCTTTTGCACAGTAATCAGGTTGAAAAGAGGAACTACATCAAGTGAGGACCGGAGCAGAGTAGATGAGACAGGTATAAGCTACTCCAACACTCAGTCTGAAATGTACTGTAGAAATGGGAAATATTTCAAGAGCATGATTGTATTTTGCAAGAATAAATACTTCCATGTCTATCTACAAAACTGTCAGGATAAATTTGTGTCTAATATTAACAAATGCAGCACTAAATTCAGATCATTACAGCAGTGCAGGCATGTAAGAGGCAAATCATGCAGTCAATATTCCAACAGTCCAGCAAGCAATTAAAGCAAATTACTGCGTTTTCCATTTTCACCACACCTTCCCATGCACAAAAAGTCCTCTAAGGATTTTGACTTACCTCTTGTGAGAAGTATCTCCAAAGTATGCATGCCAAAGAAACTTTTTTTAAAAAAATTATTGCTCAAGTAATAAAAGACACTAGAAGCTTATGGGCATCTAACCACTCATTCCATCTTACAAAGAGAAGATATTGCACAAGTAAAGGAACAAAATATCTGAGCCATAATGTGTTCCTCCCATTGAGTGATCACCCAACAAAATTTTTGCTTTAATACATATATCACTGTTAATATTTAGAAGATTGTTTATGACTAGGGAATTCTGGTCTGAGGGCAACCATGCAGTCTCTGATATGAGGAGGTATCCTCTGATAGTCAGTGACTCTTCAGTATTAGTTTTCTGTTGCTGTTTTTTATTGTTCCACAATAAAGTGTTGAACTAATGTTGGATTCATTAGTCTGTTGGCTGTTAGCCCATTTTCCCAATTTTGGCACTGGTTTCACACCAAATAATAAACAAGCCATTCTCTGCCCCTCAAACCAGAACCCCCCCCCAGGGAGCTGAAAGCTTTAGCTTCCTTGCCATTGCTGCTGATTTCAGGGAGTTAATCCAAAATCTGGGAAAATTCAAATCCAGACCAGGATCTGAAATATCAACTCAGGTTTATTTCTGATTATCATTATTTAGAAAGCCTCATTGGCTGGTTCTGATATGTACCAGTACCAGTTAGGATCATAACAGTGCTTGAGTTGGGTGAAAGAGATTGCTCAACAGGAGTTTCTGCATCATTAAAGGGAAAACAACTGGCAGCTTCTAGGCCAAGAAGGGGTGCCCAGCCCTTTCTGAGCTCAGAGGTCACCTTAATTCTTAAAGATGTGCTATAAGGGCTTATAACTTATGTTAAACCCAGAACACAGCAAAAGATGGTACAAGGCTTCACAGATCTGGTGTTACACGCAGCATCTTTCTCTTCAGCTCACTGCAAAGGGCTGTGCTAAGAAGTTCCCAGCTCCTGCTGAATTAAGGACCATGTAGGAGCTTGGAGATGCTTCTTTTCACAGATTCTTTAAGATCTGCCTCTGACAGAACAGCATCTCTGCTTAGTTCTGAATTTGAAAAAGATCTGCCTCTGACAGAGACAGCATCTCTGCTTAGTTCTGAATTTGAAAGGGCTGAGATCATGGAGCTACTCCCTATTTTAGAAGGTAAACCTTGGTTCTGTCAGGCCCAGCGGCCAGGAGGTCCCTTGTTCTCCTGGGTGCAGAACTGAGTGGCAACTGGGAAAAACTCCCTCTCATTGCAAGCATCAGTCTAGTTACACCACAACATTTGAGTGTCTAAGACCTGGTATTAAAGGAATCTGGTTATATAATTTTCTCCTTCTACCAATATTGAATATTTAAATTCATAAAGATGTAGGTTTCTTGACTGCCACATGGCTGAAGGTCCATTTTTTTCCACAAGACTGAGTTAAAGAAAAATTCCTAACAACAAAATATCTGTTTGATCTCTCTATGTCCTGACTGACAGGGAACAGGAAGCAATCTTGTTTGGCAGAACCACATCAACTGCTTTATGTTTAGGTTTTCGCTTGACCCCAAGGAACATTTGTGACTGGGACCTAATACAAGAAGATACATTTGATGAAAGGTTTTGCAGTTTGTGTTGCAACAGAGCTCAAAATATCGAAGCCAAATTTTTTTTGAAGTCTCCACTGTAATTATGGCTGGTGCCCTGAAAGCATTCAGAAGGTGAATGCTTGCCAGATGTTTAACAACAAAGCCTTCAAGTTCTCACCAGGGTGACTTTCCTCCCTAAACACCGCACAGGAGCAGGCACAGTCACTGCTCTAACAGCTTGGCAATCTAGGGCTCTTTATTTTATCTACTACAAACTCTACAACTGAAGCTGAATGTCACAAGGTATAACAAAAAACACACAAGAGAATTAATAAATAAGAAAATGCACCATTGCTACGTGCTTGATCCAAAACCCCTTGTAGCTCCTTCTTTCCCCTTCACCTTGCGAAGGTCGAAGCTCTTTGGGAAGGATGAGGAGAGAGCAACAGATGCTTTGGCTTGTTTACAGATTTCTGGGATGTACATGTAAAAAACTAATCAAGCAAATAGTAATGGCTGGAAATAAAAAATATACACAAAAACCGAACCAAAACAAAACCCCCCAAAATATACACAAAAAATATAGAGTGGTGCTTACAGACCAGTCAGCAGTTACCAGCTGACAACTCTCAGCAAAATAAAACATTGAGATATATCTGTTACAGTAAAAATGAGTGATGCATAAGGGAGCATCAATCATTTAGAGGACAATCCATTTGTAGTTACAAATAAAAATAAGAATCTGTAAGCATTAGAGAAGATTTGGGAGAAATTTTGTCATGTTTGACAGCATACAAGGATGTTGGCAGCATTATAAAAATTAGTTTGCAATCGTTACTAATTTTCTTATCGGCTACTGACTTTCAAAACAGAAGGGAAAGTCAGCCTAAAAACTGGATTGTTCAAGACCAAAAATTACAAGGAAGTCTTCATCAGCAGATTATTACAAGTATCTGTACATAATGATCTTGATGGTCACTTCAGTTGGGGAAACAATCCAGGTATTAACCCTACTAATGCAAAAAGTTGAGAATTTTTATGATGTGTAGTAGACCATTCAGACTCTTCCATTACTTATTAAAAAAAAAGAAAAAAGATCTACTTTTTCAGTATCATTCTCCATTCCCCAATGGCATCCTAGAGAAAACCACACTGCTCTGTTCCAGGAATATAATGGGAAGTGAAGTCTGTCTGTGCCACTCACCTGTAATTATCTCTCCATTGTTATTTAGCAGTAAACAAATTCTTTCCCTTTGTACTGTGGCTTTTAAAAATATATTCTCTTTCCATTCTACCTGTAACTTTCTAAAATATAACTGTTATAACAGAGCACTGCAAAATGGCATGCACTAAGCAACTGAAAAATGACAGGTTATGAAAAATAAAAAAACCCAACAGTAAGAACGTGCTAAAAGAGACTTTCAGCTATATCAGAAATAGATGGCTTCAATGGACATGCACGCTCCTCCAGATCCTCCTCTGTCTTTTCACTGCTAATTTGCAGTCGAAAATGTTTAGAGCATTTATGATAAGGGATATGTTAAAATGTAAATGTTATATTTAAACAATAATACATTTGCAATATTGTGGCTAAAATAATTGGAGTTAAATATGTCATACTGTGTGGCAACCTTTTACAGAATTTGCCAAGAAGTCATTATTCAGGTGGTTACTCCTTGCTAAAAATTAAAAATCCATTTTTACTTTCCTAAATATTAACTATAATGCACTAACGCTGGACAGCTTAATCACACCATCTTTTATATTACTTACAACTACATTATTTTTTTTTTCAGACATGGGTCATTGTATTTGCATGCATTTCCTTTAAGCCAGACCATTTTACCACCCAACTGGGAGTTCTTTACATTTCTGAGAGGTACAATGCGAATGCAGTGTTTGAAATGGAGCTCTGTAAATGAGCAAAGGTGAAAGAAGGTGAAAACCATGAACACAGCTCACGTGAAATACTGAATGCCAACAGGATTCTGCAGATGGCATCCATTTTCTGTACATTAGAAGTATTTAATCACTATTATTATTAATATTAAAGTTTCATTACTGCGGGAGCTAGTCAGAAGGGAATTTACTGAGTATTTTGGAAGGGTTCGATACATGAATGTAAAAATATATTGTACACAGGACCAAATTCTCTGCTGCATTCTCACCAAATTCTCTAATCCCAACTCTGACAAATGTTTGGGGACCGAGGAAGGAAAGCTGCAGTCTTTACCCAAAAGGTGTTTCTAAGGGTTCTTTGGCAGCACAATGACTATTAAAGCACCTCAGGGGCTGCAGCCATGAATCCCTACCAAAAGAAACCAGTGCTAGCCACGGGCAAGTTCCCACCCAGTCTGTGCTTGCCACACTCCTTTGTCTGCCACAGCCGCTGTGTCCACCACGGGCTGCAAATGGAAAGTGTTTATTGGTCAGGCTGGGGTTCTACCAGGTCATGGGCATTGTCCTCCATTAGTCAAGGTGGGTTTGGAGTAAGACAGGGATTGAGGAATTGAGCAAATAGGCATAAAGTGTCTACTGAGATATTTAATTGCAATTTATGACATGAATATTACTGATGTGGCATCCTGTGATAGGGGAGACCTATCTGATTGGGGCCAGACTTTTTTCAGGGGTGCCCAGTGACAGGACAAGAGGGAACAGGCAGAAACCTGAACAAAGAAAGTTCCACCTAAAGATGAGGAGGAACAACTTCTTTCCTGTGAGGGTGGCAGAGCCCTGGAAGAGGCTGCCCAGAGAGGTGGTGGAGTCTCCTTCTCTGGAGACATTCCAAACCCACCTGGACATGTTCTTGTGCAACCTGCTCTGGGTGGACCTGCTCTGGCAGGGGGTTGGACTGGATGATCTCCAGAGGTCCCTTCCAACCCCATAGCATTCTGTGAGTCTGTGACCTAATGTACGTCCCGTCTGTTCCTACAGGTGACTCCTATTTTTATGACCAAAGGAAATAAATATTTTCATTTGATTTCTCACTTGAAGCAATTACATGAAATGTCCACATGCACAGGACTGTTTTTATGCTGAAAATTCATTGTCTAGTTAAAGTAAAAATGCTGCTACAGGTTGTGTAGGTACATTTCAACACCGACACGTGAATATGTTGCAGTTAAACCTGAGACTATAGCGAACCACATCTTTCAAAGCAAAAAGGTGGAAAATTTGATTTGCCTGCACGCAGCTTTTCCCATTCACAGTGAGGATTTTAAACCTTATTATCCACACAATGAAATAATCTGATTAAAAAATTGGAAAACCATTACAAATGAAAACCTGCACTTAAGCTGTTTTGTACAAAGAAACTCTGCCATCCTGGATATCCAAAAGAATTTTCAGGATTTTGGTAAGGAAAATGACTAGTAAAAAGCACACTAAGCCGTGCCTGAGACTGAAAACAACAGCTAGTACTGGAAATAATGTAACAGGTTTTCAGGATGTTGAAAAATTAAGTCATTTTCATTTAGATGCCACTCTGGAAAACACAGCCCTTATTTTAAAAAATTGTAGCTGTAACGTTTATGGGCTTCCAACCCAGAGCATTCTATGAACCAATGACATATTATTAGTAATAGAGAAATAGAAGTATTTATGTCTATATTGCCAGTAATATCTCTATTCATTCTCAAAGAAGAGTCGTACCTGGGAATTGGGAGTAATGCAAAAGCACTGAACTCAACAGTCATATTTAGAAGCCCAGTTCTGTTGATCCTGATCACTCCAACAACCAACCACAACCATTATGTTGACTGAAACAATGTTCTGCCCTGTTTAGACCCTGACCCTACAGGCCCACTCTCTTCCTCTTTAACCACTTGAAGAAGCCTCACATCTTCATTCTTGACTGACGCGATACATCCAATCATTTTTAGCACTTCTTCAGTATCCTTATTTTTCCAATTGGCTTTGAAAATGTTTGCAATTTGTTTGAGCTTTACTCGCTGATTTTAATATCAGAGAGCTGTATGCCTCTGGGTATTGAGGTAAAGACTTAATGCATTTTTGAAAATAAAAAGAAAAGCCTTTTTTTGGTATCTATTTGCCTCACATAGGAGAGAAAATAAATTAAGAAGCTACAATTAAAGTCCTATAACAGATAAAAATCAGTTAAAACACTAAAACCAGTTCATTGTACCCTGCCAATATATTCAAAGATGCACAGATTAAGAAAGCTACAATTAAAGTCCTATAAAAGATAAAAATCACTTAAATACTAAAACCAGTTCATTGTACCTTGCCAATATATTCAAAGATGCACAGATTAAGAAATATTGTATAGTGTGGACTTACTGGATCCCTATCTGCACTCTTTAAAATGAGCAATGATGGTCTTGAGAGGAAAAAAAAAGAAAGGACCACAGTAAAATTAGTTCCTACTCAGCTGAGAGAGATGGAGGAGAGGAAAATGCCTTATTTCAGCCAGGATTTACTAAGTGTTCTAGAATGGTTTCGCTGCCTGATTTTTTTTGGTAAGACATAAGCATACAGTATCACAGGAAATGGGACTGCAGGCTTGAAACAAACACTATCCGATATAACAGAAAAAAATTCCAAACAATAATAAAAGACAAGACACTTGGTATATATGAAAACTTAAGATAGGTCAAAGATAACAGGAGTATAAAATGTAACTTGGTGGTTTAGGCTGTTATTTGTCTATTTTAAATAAAGGAAGTTCCTTGTTCTTGGATATATTGTACTGTCATTCCTTATGTCTTTTAAGGTTCACTGGGTAGTTGTTGAACCAAGATGACCAAGCAAACCTTGGTAAAACCTCTCTGAGTGACTCATGGCATTGAGCATTCCAATTGCTGGTTAAACATTCAGGACAACACTAAAAAAATTCACTAAGAACAAATATTGTCACAACAGCAGTGACAACCTTTAGCAAAACTACAGACTTCAAATACCCACAAAAAGAAACCCTTGAAAGCTTTGTTGTCAATTTTCAGTGAGCATATTAAAAAGTATTGAGAGTTTTTCTAACATCTCAGGGATTGTGAAAAAAAATGGACCAGAATGTCTAAGTAGTAAGAAACCTGGCAACTATTTTCAAAGAGACCCACACAACTGACTGATGCACAAAGCAGGGTTGAGTTTCTGAAACGTGACAGAGACAAGCAAAAATTCTCCAAAATTCCATTAGTATACGTACAGATGCAGTTCATGCCATCACGCGCATGCCGATGTTCACAGCCAGCACACTTCCACCCTGTGAATCCGGGCTTGCAAGTGCACTCTCCAGTGAGAGGGTGACAGGGGACAGGCAGGGAACCGTATGGATCACACTCACATTCCTGGCAGGAGCCTCCTGGAATCTGTGGGTTTCCCGTGTAGCCAGGAGAACATCTAGACACAGCAAATACAAAACCAAGTTTGGCCAACTGAGATGCATAGACATGAGACTACCGTGAACACTTGGCAAGACAGTAAACAAAATGTACATGAACATTCTTTCATGGAAGGAATTCTTTTTCAGGAACAAATTTTTTACTATGAGGGTGGTGAGACACTGGAAGAGGTTGCCCAGGGAAGTTGTGGCTGCCCCATCCCTGGAGGGGTTCAAGGCCAGGCTGGATGGGGCCTTGAGCAACCTGCTCTAGTGGGAGGTGTCCCTGCCCATGGCAGGGGGTTGGAACTTGATGATCTTTGAGGTCCCTTCCAACCCTAAACATTCTATGATTCTATGATTAAAAAAAAAAAACTTTGATGCTTTATCACTCAATAAGCATTTGTAGAGGGAGAAATGTTGTGAACTGTCCAACAAAGTGATCACAACTTTTAACCAGGACGTGGAATAGTCTGGATGAAAGGAGTATTCAAAAGTGATTCCACATCCCTTCAGTTAAACTTCTATTATACCGTGACAAAAATGATTCTACATTAATTGTCTATAGGCCTTTTCTTCTCACTAGCCACTTGAGTTTTGCATTAGAAGTGAAATCTCACAGTAGACAGCTGCTAATTTTGATTAATCTTAATCCCATAACATCGCTACGGATGTGACAACAGCTGCTCTTGAGGTTACTAATTTGCAACTTGGTCATTAATATGTTTATATGTGTCTTTCACAGTCAGTGCCCATGAAACACAACAGTCACTAGAACAAAGGGTGTGAGTGACATCAAGACACACTATAAGATTGGTATCTAATTTTAGATAAATTTCATATTTTGCAGTTTAACTTCTGAGGCCCAGGGGAAAAAAACACCCACAAATCAGAAAGGACAACATCTGTGATATAAACAACACTGATTATCACTCTACAGTGGGTATACATAAAAATTGCCTGTTATGGCAGAGTTTTAACAACATATAAAGGGGAAATAAGTTATCTGAAGGCAGGTATTTATACGTTTGTAAATATAGTAAATATACATTTGTAGCATCAAAGGACATCTCTCCCCTTCATGTCTTGTTCGCCTTTCATTGTCCCTCTTTCCTCCTCTTCCACTCATCCTACCTTTCACAGTACTGGCCTTCATATCCAGGTGGGCACGCCGTACACCGGTAACCACCAGGGCCTTCAGCAACACAAGAAGGGCTAAAACTAAAAGAAAAGCAAATAAAGAACTTTTTCCACTCCATTGCATCATGTCACTCTACTCAGCTGGGCGGAAAGGGCCCACTGTAAGCTCCACCTTTTCTTGTCTGTTTATAAACACCTGTTTATAAAGGAGATCCCTCCTTTCTATTAAGAATTTTGTGATTATGATTTAATTTTAGTTCAAACAAAAGGAGATAAACTGGGAAGAGTTTACTCAAAGGTAAGACAAAAAGGGAGAAAGGAACCAAAGTCATAGGCATGAGGAATCCTCCAAAAAGGCAGCGACAGATGATCTTCTTAAGGACACACTGAAGAGAAAAAAAACCCTAAAAGCAACCTTCTTCATGATCAGAGAGGCGTTGTATTATAATCAAGGAAGACACTAGATTATTTTTACTAAACTGATGAATAACTAGTGATTGCAGTGTGAACTCTGGGAACCAGGCAATGTAGCACGTTGCTGGAATATTAGTGCATTAAGCACCCGCACAGACAGTTAAATCAAACAGAAAGGGTAGTTAAGGGAAAAAAATTACAACTAAATAATAAAATGGTGCAATACTGTCAAACTCTTTCAGGTCTTTGTGTGGAAGAAGAGGTCAGCCCAGAGCTCCCTCTGAGTACAGTACAGTCAGCATCCTCCTCTGACTTGCTTATAATGCACTAAGTCAATAGTGCTTGAATGAGTATATAAAATAACACCTTTGCAAAAAAAAGTAAACAAATTGATCTATTACTCACAAACTCATTATCCAACACATTTTCAACTCTATAAAAATAGATCCACACCCCCAGGAACAACTCATTCTCTCTGATCTTGTTTTTTTCCAGCTCATGATGTTTGGAGCTCACTGTCGATTGTAGAGGAGTATAACAAAAGTATTTAAAACCTGAGTGGAGTTTTGTAAAATTTCATAAATAATTGCACTTCCGAATTTACAAATATGTCAGTCATGACATAAGCTAATGAGATAGCTCATTAGCTATCTGCATTTCATACAGATTATGATTACTCAACTACCATACAATAGCTGCAGGTAGTTACATTTTTTTCCTTAAAGATTTCACTGAACTGCCCAACACACACAAATCCAAGGTGTGATCCAAGTCTTCTTCTCTGGAGATATTCCAAACCTGCCTGGACACCTTCCTGTCCAGCCTGCTCTGGGTGACCCTGCTCAGGCAGGGGGTTGGAGCAGATGATCTCCAAAGGTCCCTTCCAACATCTGCAATTTAACCCCTACAGTTTGAGTGGGCGCCCAGGACACACGGAGTACCTGGAGTCACACATTTCTCAACTGTAGAGTGTCAGTGACACCCACTTCATGTGTTTTACATTAATTTTTAGATAAGACACTGAAATGATTTCTGGAGCACAGGGTGGAGAAAGCCTGAATTCTTGGGGGGGGGAGGTGCCATAACCACCCAGGCGAAGAGACCTGCTCATTTTCTGGGCAACCAAGGGTTCTTAAGTCCCAGAAAAAAGAAAAAAAAAAGGACCAAATGATATTTTCAGCACTTCTCAGTGCCTGTTAGTAACAGGAAAAGTTTTTTTCCAGTATCTTTGCTGGTGTGCAAAGATGAGAAGCTTCGTCAATCTTTTTCTTTTCAACTTGAATGTCCTTTCCTGACACCAGTAGGTAGAACACATAATCAAGTTGTTACACAAAACATTCATGAAAAAGGGTCCAATTCAGAAAAACTTGCAGTTAAGGCCACATTATATCTTCCTGACATAAAAGGTATTTCTTTAAGTCCCTTTTATAATTGTTTTGGTTGTTTTCAGTTTGGTATTTGTGAGGTTTGGAAGTTTTCTTAAAAACACCGTGGATGAAAAGATGATGTGTTTAGCTACTGATGTTTTACAAAGGGGTTCCCTCCTTCAAAACAAACCTCAGACCACCCCAAAATGATAAAATGAAGAAGAAATAATAATAATAATAATAATAATAATAAACCCCAAACCTTTCTGAGATACACTGGCTGAAATACTAACGCATCCGAAAGGTCAAAGCACAGAAAAATGGTTTTAAGGAACAATTCCAACCTTTCAAGAGAACAATAATGAAACACAAACCTTTTCAGAGCAGCACTATGGTGTGATTCCAAATATCATTAAGAGTTTCTCAGCAAAACAACAAACAAATCTCAAGTGTTAAAGCATCATCTGTTGGGAACACATGCGGAGACATGGTGGCAAGGCTCATTAGCATAAAGCAACCAATAAAATTTACGCTGCAATAACTGTATTGCTTTTAAATTATTCTATCTTTCAGAAATTGCCTAAAACTCATGTAACATTAAATAAGGAATCAATAAATTCCACAGTGGAGCAAGAAAGGCACTGTAACACATTTATTCCAACATAATATATGAGCATAAGACTTTTTACAGCTCCCTCGTGGCTGCATTGTACTTGAGTTCTGCTCCAGCTTCATTTGTGAGAATACCTTTATAACACACATTCATTATCTGGTGAGTATTGCATTTTCTCGCACTTAATAATTTATTCATCACAAATTAGCAAGGGAGCAATTTCCGACTTTTAAAGGGAGATCAATTAGCAAAAAGTAGATGGAAAACTTTTTAGCGTGGCTCACGTGACGCAGCGTGTGGCTGTAGCCATCTGAGAAAGGACACAGCGAGGCCAACCCAAAGCTCCTGCTCGCTGGAAAGGGAATTCTGCATCAGGACTTTCCTTACTCACTTGTTGCTGGGGAGAGCCAGGGGACAAGCACAGGGCTGACAGTCATCCGGGGAGCCATGGACCACCCCATAATAGCCCAGGGCACATCTCTCGCAGTGGTGACCCGCCGTGTTGTGCTGACAGTTCTGGGGAGGAAGGAGGCAGAATGAAAGCTGTAGCTGATAATTACAAGAAAGCAGGTAACGTTTTGTTCCCAGCCTCCGGGAAGTCAAACTTATTGCAATTCAGAATTTCTCTCTCCCTGTGAATTTCTCTCACTTTAAGCATCGATCAAACGCCTGCTGAGTTATATATGGGTCTGCACGGAGAAAGAATGGAGGCCTGTAGGTAGCCAGATGTATCCTACAGAATTTCTTATCCCATTCATCCCTCCTTCCCTCTTTTGTTCCAGCTGCTGAAGCAGGAGAAATGATCGATTAAAATTCAATCTTACTGTATCAGGTCACACGTAGTGTTACCTATAGGAGCAGTGCTGTGTTTATTGCACGACATGTAGAATCATAGAATCACAGAATAGTTTGGATTAGAAAGGACCTTAAAGACCATCCAGTTCCAACCCCCTGCCCTGGGCAGGGACACCTCCCACCAGACCAGGTTGCTCCAAGCCCCATCCAACCTGCCCTTGAACCCCTCCAGGGATGGGGCAGCCACAGCTTCTCCGGGCAACCTGGGCCAGGCTCTCACCACCCTCACACCAAAGAAGTTCTTCCCAATATCTAATCTAAATCTCCCCTCCTTCTGTTTAAAACCCTTCCCCCTCGTCCCATCTCTCCCTCCCTGATCCAGAGTCCCTCCCCATCTCTCCTGGAGCCCCTTTAGGAACTGGAAGGGGCTCTAAGGTCTCCCCGGAGCCTTCTCTTCTCCAGGCTGAACCCCCCAACTCTCTCGGTCTGTCCTCACAGCAGAGGGGCTCCAGCCCTCAGAGCATCTTCATGGCCCCACATGGGACATTGCCTCTTTTGTTTGAGGATATTTAGTTTTTCTTTTTAAACAAGTTGTAATTCAGCGGCAATAAAGCACTGCTCTTTTGTTTGAGGATATTTAGTTTTTCTTTTTAAACAAATTGTAATTCAGCAACAATAAAGCACTGCATAGCCTATCTCTAGAAAATCAGAATGGAAAACTTTAAAGGTAGATGGTTTGATTTTTCTGACCTTCCCTTTAACTTTGAGACTTAACTATTTAAGCAAAATTGGACTAAAATATTGTCCTTTTTTTTTTTTTTTTG